CTCTCCCCTTGCTCACTCACCCAAACTTCCTCGTCTCCTCCGTCATCCACGCCAGCTGCATCCTTCTGCGGGTGACATCGAAGGGGTACGAGAAGCTCTGGGCCACCGCTCCCGCCAAGCCCCCAGACAGGAGCTTGGCCGGGATTGAGAGCACAAGGCCACCTGTGTGGATTCACCGAAATTAGTTTGATAATTTGTCAATTTTTTTTTTTTTTTGTAGATTCATCATCCCTAACAACAATGATGGCATTCCTATATGCCATGACAATGACAGGCCTGAATTCCTGGTGGCATCCATACATGCTATAACAATGGAGGCCACTTTATATTCTGCACCCTATATAGGCAAGGAGCTTTATAGCTCTAACTAATGCCTTCAAAAATTGATTATTAATTTCATCTTTTATGCTGTCTTTTCTAAACAATAATTGGTTTGTCCTGAATCAAAGACAAGAGAGAAAAATCATTATCGTGACACATCTGATTTTTATCTTCTGCAGGAAACCAGGATACCTTGAAATTAACCATAGAGCAGGGTTCAGTTCACTTTGAATATCTCCCATTTCCCTCAGATGAAGTGGAGACCAGTGTATACATTGAAAAGTAGAGTTCATACAAAGCTCTTGTTGGGGATAGGGTATGAATCCTATACCAGATCCAGCAAAAGGGAGATGCTTTTCTGCTGCTGGATGCTGTTGCCCTTAGCTTTCCGAGAACCCGTCTAATGGTCTACAATAAAAACATGGATATAAAAGAATCTGTATAATTCTTTTACATCAATGTTATACTCGCATATTGAAGTCATCCACTGGAGCTGTGGTATTCATAACAAGAAGCCATGCCAGACCAAAAATCTAATTTGACATATAACAAGCATTTACTAGTCATTCTCAGAAATTTAAATAATAAGTCAATAATCATCCCATACTTTTACTCTACCAAAAACATAATCTGTGATAAATCTATTGTAGTATACAGAATCTGTAATGAATCAAACTCTGTCCTTCAGTACCTAATAATGTTGCAATAGCAAGTACAAGTTTCCTCCTCTTAGTTTGCTATCATCAAATACACATATTACTTAGTATGGTTTGAAAGTAGTTTGTATGAGCATAAAAAAATCGGAAATCTGAATTTTCATATAAAAACATTAATTTCACAAGTTATATGAAATAAATTGTTCTTTCCACTTTTTCATTACCTGCCGCAACCCCCCCCCCCCCCCACTAACCTGTGTTTTTCTCGCATGGGCTGCATGTGTATTCAGGGAGGTACTTCATACAAAAATATTTCATCTGCTCAAAACAATAGAAGCTCAGTCCAGCATAGGGTATCATGCCGCAGACTGTTGCCGTGAAGCCCCTGTAGAGCGCCCTCGCACCGCCCTCCTGTGGGTCAGACGGATTTCATAAAACTGGGGAGGATTTATAGCCATAACATACATTGAACAGTAACAAATATCATTATATATTTTACTGCACATACACACAAATTTGTATCAAAGTTATGGAATGTTTTATCCAGGTAGTTAAATAAAATGCATAATTATTAAACAAATTTTGAAATACAAGTAATCGTTATATACAGAACACTGACTACAACTACAACAACTAGAATCTAATACCACAAGATAATCTTAAATCTGCAAAAAGGAAATTCAAATGAAGGAGAAGGAGAAAGAGAAAGAGAAAGAGAGAGAAAGAAAGATAGAGAGAGAGAGAGAGAGAGAGAGAGAGAGAGAGAGAGAGAGAGGGAGAGAGAGGGAGAGAGAGAGAGAGAGAGAGAGAGAGAGAGAGAGAGAGAGAGAGAGAGAGAGAGAGAGAGAGAGAGAGAGAGAGAGAGAGAGAGAGAGAGAGGGGGGGGAAAAAAAAAAAATCACACTTACGGTTTGGAATATAGTTACCGCAGCATTTACGATACCAGTGTACTTGTGTTCCCCAGAGACTTGAAAAGCTAACCTCGCACGTATAGTATCAAGGGGATATGTTAAAAACACTGCTGTTACGCCTGCTAAGGAACCAGCAACAGCCGAGGTGAATTTGCTTAGGTATTTTGTGTCACCCCATACATTATTCAAGAGCTGAAAAGATAAAGTCAATAATACATGTTAATTTTTATCTTATAATATTTCTATGTGCTAACTGTGATTTCAACAGTTAAGCAGTTATTTCAGTAAGAGTTCTATTTCTAGATCAGTGGTTATGCAAACGAGATGTAAATAAAAAAGAAAAAGATCTATCTATATCTATCTATCTATCAATATATATATTGTTTTTATATCCCTTTTTCTATTAATAGAAATTATTCTTCAAAGAAAAATAATGTCTATATAAAATATAACACACACAAATAAATATAAAAAATGCATTAGAGATTCATATATACATACAAATTATTATTTACATATTCATCTATCCCCATTCACATGCATAAATCCTTTGGTTTTAGATTAAAGTTATAAATTAGATCTCAATAGTTTACTTTGTACAAGAACATAACAATGCATTATACACATATAAATCAGTGATAACAATTCAGATTCCTCACCTTCTTGTAAACCTCAAAAGACGTAAACTGAGTCGACGCATAAGGGAAAATCCGGACCATTTGTGCACCGTTTCCTTTGTAGAGGGCCAAGAAATTCTCCTGTGCTACTATATTTCGGAGGCCGCTAAACACCCCTGAAGTAAAATTGTCATATTACAACCCGATTATTTGTAACAACTGATGAGAAATCACTCAAACTCCACAGGGTTTACAAAATTTCTGAATCCCCAAGTTGCCCATTTAGGGACTTTTGCCAAATTTTTGTAGTCAATTAAAGAGGGTGTCTTTATGTTAGGTAGCCCATCGAGACAACTTGACTATCGCAGGAGGTTGGGCTAGCAATTTTGTAAGCATTGACTTGATTACCCCTTGCAACACTACTTCCCACCTTTTTGTTATAAATGATTCTAAAACTGTATCTTTAAACTAGCTGCCTTGCATATACAGAAATTAATTGCTTTTTTGCTCTTTTTATTAAACATTCTGCTGCCTACTTCAGAAATTCTCCAACTTGTAAAGCTTCAGAACTAAAGTATCTAAACATACTTTTTTAACAATACTAATTTACAAAAATCCTCTGAACTAATTTCTGTATCTGACACACTTACAACTCCCTTGTCACAACATTCATAACAAAATTTCCAAATCTACAAAACTACATCAGAAAAATAATTATTGGATCAACGATACTTACCATGATGTTTATAATGTTTATTGTGTGCTTGAAGGAGAATTTTGATGCGGTCTAAGGGTGCAACTGTCGTCTTAGCACACATTCCCGCTACCCCTGGGGAGAAGAAATAAAAAGATGAATGAATGAAAAGAGAATATATTATCTACCAAATGAAAAGGTAATGCTAGTATAATAGGTTGGCTGCATAAATAATACAATTTCAGTACAGTCAAAAGGTAATGATATACATCCACTATTTAATTTACATATAAATGGATATATTTATCAACATGTTACATTCACACTCTCATCTGACCACTTATTAATTTATTCAAAGTTCAAAGTTCACAGATTCACTCATATGCCTACTTGCTGAACCCCATCTCTCTCTTTTTATTATTCATGTTCTCTATTTTTATTATTCATGTTCTCTATTTTTATCATTCACATTCTCTATTTTTATTATTCATGTTCTTTATCTTTATTATTCATGTTCTCTATTTTCATCATTCATGTTTTCTATTTTTTATTGTTCATGTTCTCTATTTTTATTATTCATGTTCTCTATTTTTTATTGTTCATGTTCTCTATTTTTATTATTCATGTTCTCTATTTTTTATTGTTCATGTTCTCTATCTTTTTATTATTCATGTTCTTTATTTCTTATTATTCATGTTCTCTATTTTTTATTGTTCATGTTCTCTATCTTTTTATTATTCATGTTCTCTATTTTTTATTGTTCATGTTCTCTATCTTTTTATTATTCATGTTCTCTATTTTTATTATTCATGTTCTTTATTTCTTATTATTCATGTTCTCTATTTTTATTATTCATGTTCTCTATTTTTTATTGTTCATGTTCTCTATCTTTTTATTATTCATGTTCTCTATTTTTTATTGTTCATGTTCTCTATTTTTATTATTCATGTTCTCTATTTTTTATTGTTCATGTTCTCTATTTTTATTATTCATGTTCTTTATTTCTATTATTCACATTCTTTATTTTCTATTATTCATGTTCTTTATTTCTTATTATTCATGTTCTTTATTTCTTATTATTCATGTTCTTTATTTCTTATTATTCATGTTCTCTATTTTTATTATTCATGTTCTCTATTTTTATCATTCACATTCTCTATTTTTATTATTCATGTTCTTTATCTTTTATTGTTCATGTTCTCTATTTTTTATTGTTCATGTTCTCTATTTTTTATTGTTCATGTTCTCTATTATTATTATTCATGTTCTCTATTTTCTATCATTCATGTTCTTTTTTTAACATTTGTGTTCTTTATTTCTTATTATTCATGTTCTCTATGTTTTATTGTTCATGTTCTCTATATTTTATTGTTCATGTTCTCTATTTTTTATTGTTCATGTTCTCTATTTTTTATTGTTCATGTTCTCTATTTTTTATTGTTCATGTTCTCTATTTTTTATTGTTCATGTTCTCTATTTTTTATTGTTCATGTTCTCTATTTTTTATTGTTCATGTTCTCTATTTTTTATTGTTCATGTTCTCTATTTTTCATTGTTCATGTTCTCTGTTGTTTATTATTCATGTTCTCTATTCTTATCATTCATGTTTCTATTTTATCATTCAAGTTTTCTATTTTTATATTCATTTTCTTTATTCCTTTATTATTCATGTTCTTTATTTCTTATTATTCATGTTCTTTATTTCTTATTATTCATGTTCTCTATTTTTATTATTCATGTTCTCTATTTTTATCATTCACATTCTCTATTTTTATTATTCATGTTCTTTATCTTTATTATTCATGTTCTCTATTTTTTATTGTTCATGTTCTCTATCTTTTTATTATTCATGTTCTCTATTTTTTATTGTTCATGTTCTCTATCTTTTTATTATTCATGTTCTTTATTTCTTATTATTCATGTTCTTTATTTCTTATTATTCATGTTCTCTATTTTTTATTGTTCATGTTCTCTATCTTTTTATTATTCATGTTCTCTATTTTTATTATTCATGTTCTCTATTTTTTATTGTTCATGTTCTCTATCTTTTTATTATTCATGTTCTTTATTTCTTATTATTCATGTTCTCTATTTTTTATTGTTCATGTTCTCTATCTTTTTATTATTCATGTTCTCTATTTTTTATTGTTCATGTTCTCTATCTTTTTATTGTTCATGTTCTCTATTTTTATTATTCATGCTCTCTTCTTATGCCTTTTCTCTATGTTTTATTGTTCATGTTCTCTATCTTTTTATTATTCATGCTCTCTTCTTATGCCTTTTCTCTATGTTTTATTGTTCATGTTCTCTATCTTTTTATTATTCATGCTCTCTTCTTATGCCTTTTCTCTATGTTTTATTGTTCATGTTCTCTATCTTTTTTATTATTCATGCTCTCTTCTTATGCCTTTTCTCTATGTTTTATTATTCATGTTCTCTATCTTTTTATTATTCATGCTCTCTTCTTATGCCTTTTCTCTATGTTTTATTGTTCATGTTCTCTATTTTTATTATTCATGCTCTCTTCTTATGCCTTTTCTCTATGTTTTATTATTCATGTTCTCTATCTTTTTATTATTCATGCTCTCTTCTTATGCCTTTTCTCTATGTTTTATTATTCATGTTCTCTATCTTTTTATTGTTCATGTTCTCTATCTTTTTTATTATTCATGCTCTCTTCTTATGCCTTTTCTCTATGTTTTATTATTCATGTTCTTTATTATTATTATTCATGCTCTCTTCTTATGCCTTTTCTCTATGTTTTATTATTCATGTTCTCTATTTTCATCATTCATGTTTTCTATTTTTTATCATTTAAGTTTTCTATTCTTTCTCATTCATGTTCTCTATCTTTTTATTATTCATGCTCTCTTCTTATGCCTTTTCTCTATGTTTTATTATTCATGTTCTCTATTTTCATCATTCATGTTTTCTATTTTTTATCATTTAAGTTTTCTATTCTTTCTCATTCATGTTCTCTATCTTTTTATTATTCATGCTCTCTTCTTATGCCTTTTCTCTATGTTTTATTGTTCATGTTCTCTATCTTTTTATTATTCATGTTCTCTATTTTTTATTGTTCATGTTCTCTATCTTTTTATTATTCATGCTCTCTTCTTATTCTTTCTTTATTTTTTATGCATTTTCTATTTTCTATATTTTTATTATCCATGTTCTTTATTTATTATTCATGTTCTCTATTTTCTATCATTCATGTTCTTTTTTTAACATTTGTGTTCTTTATTTCTTATTATTCATGTTCTCTATGTTTTATTGTTCATGTTCTCTATATTTTATTGTTCATGTTCTCTATTTTTTATTGTTCATGTTCTCTATTTTTTATTGTTCATGTTCTCTATTTTTTATTGTTCATGTTCTCTATTTTTTATTGTTCATGTTCTCTATTTTTTATTGTTCATGTTCTCTATTTTTTATTGTTCATGTTCTCTATTTTTTATTGTTCATGTTCTCTATTTTTCATTGTTCATGTTCTCTGTTGTTTATTATTCATGTTCTCTATTCTTATCATTCATGTTTTCTATTTTTTATCATTCAAGTTTTCTATTCTTTATCCTTCATGTTCTCTATCCTTTTATACTTCAAAATTATTGCAAATATTGCAAACCCAGCAAGAACTGCAACTTGATATGACATTGTATTATATAATGCACTTTTGCTTCTATAATTCCAGTGTCTGTCTGTTTAACTTTCTCTGCACTGGCTTTGTGCTATGCTACATTACAGTTATATCTTTAACAAGCATGGTAATAGCAATATGGTAAATAATGTCTGCAACTTGAAAAGGCAGAATAATGATAATGGTATTAATAGTAAAGGTAATATTGGTTAACTTTTTTCTTTCATTAGTATTAGTATCATTATCATAATTACTAACATTACAAGCACTAATATCATTAATCACTATCATTATGAAAACCATCATTTTCAACAGTGATAATATCATCAAAATAGCAACAAGAAGGAAAAAAATCCTAACTGACACCTCAACGTCATGCGATGTCTCACCAATTAATTACCATAATTACCAATAATCGACTCTCCGAGCAACAAATGACGACACTAACAACACCATAATTTACTAAGGGTTAACGTCTGGAGATATCAGCGAATATGATCTATTGTTTTCGGTACAGTTAGCGTTCTTTGTTGCATAAACGGCGGATGGCGTGATATTACGTTCAAGACTGGAAGGGCGGGTGACGTATTAATACGTTCAAGTTTAAGACGGGAGTTTTTTGTTGTTGTTGCTGTTGTTTAATTTACCTATTAGTAAATTACTTTTCATGTAGTAGGATTATTTTTTATTCAACTGAAAAAAAAAACACTATCCACTAGATCTCTGAATAACATTTACCATTTGCTATGCATACACCGGCGGTAATATATATATATATATATATATATATATATATATATATATATATATTATATAAATAATTCATTTCTTACATAATACCAACTACTATTTAAGCAAAACGTGGAAAGAAAATAACATTACCTATATAACCTAAAATCATCAATTTCAAAGGCAACTATTTCCAATATATAAACAGTACATGAATGTTCAGTGGATATTTGGAAGTGCATTGTGTGTGCAGCTAATCTAATGGATATTAATCTATGTATATGTATGTGTGTTCATTTATACACTAACTCATTCCTTTGTAAATATCTTTGCAAAACGAACTGTTTGATGGGGAGGAAGGGGGAGAGGGAAGGGAGGGAGGGGTAAAAAAGAGAGGGGGAAGATGAAGGTGAAGAGAAGGAGAGAAAGGGAAGAATAAAAGGGAGAGGAAAAAAGGAGGAGGGGAGGGGAAGAAGAAGAGGTGGGGAGGGATGGAAAGAAGGGGAAGATTGAGAGAGAGAAAGGGAAGAATAAAAGGAAGAGGGGAAAAAAGGGGTGAGGGGAAGGAGAGGAGGGAAGGGAGGGAACGAATACCAATTAATGGGAGCGCGACACCCATTCATCTTCCGCTCCCTAAATTACCCTACTGGGAGTATTCAAATGACTGGCTTTACCACGTGGCAGATAATAGGGTATTGGAAAGGGTCGTTAGACTGCCGAAGCTGAGAAAGGAACAGGAAAGCTCTTGTAAAACTAACAGGAAGGAGAG